AATTTTAAAGTTGAAACGTTTGCATTTGTATTTGTTTATTAAACAGCATCACACCGCAATTTACTGTATTAAAGGTTTCACTTTCTGGTATAGCTAGTACTGCAACGTAAAGAAGAGAATAACATTAACAATCAGTATATCTTGTGATTGCAATAAATAAATTGAATGTTCACTGAGCTTAGTAAATGCCAATCATGTGCCAGCAAAAAAATGCTATTTTTAATTTCCCTAGCACATGACTGGATATTTGGACTATCAAATATAGCAGGGGTGGGCAACTCCAGCTGTTGTGGAACTACAAGTCCCATGAGGCAGTTACAGGCATGACTCCCATTGGCAGAGGCATGTTGATATTTGTAGTTAAAGCACAGCTGGAAAGCCGGAGTTGTCCACCCCTGAAATATAGACAGATTAATTACACTATGTGGCTTATTTACAAAGTTGAGACTCTTCACCTAGTAAAGTGAATGTTTACTAAACAAAGTAAATGTTGATAAATATGGGGGATCTGTGTTCACTTTGAATACCCAATCACTCCAATCATGTATGGGGACATTTAAAAACCTATTTTGTTCTAGTATATGACTGGGTATTTAAAGTGAATGTTGGTTCACCTTATATGCTAACATTCACTTTGCAAAGTGAACAGCCTTTAATCCTGCAAACCAATCTCATAAACTTAGCAGGGGAGTGTCTTGTCTTGCTGTGCCTGTGTGTTTGTGGAGACACATACAGCTTATTAGCACACACAAGGGTGGCTCCATAGGACCCTGCAAGGGAAAGGAGCCCTCCTAAAACAGGATATCAGGGCCAGTGCTCATGGGATCAGCTGATTCTGCAGGAAAATAAAAGTTTTAATTATCAAGAATCAGAATCCATTGTAAGTGATTTCATCAGCATTTGAAATAGATTACACACTTTGACTTTAATATCACTTTAACCCTTAACTTCCATAGAAGGGAACAGGGATGAGATTTGGGTTGAACATGAGTTTGTCCCAAACCCAGCCAGTTCGCAATTGGTCAAGGAATGACCAATCAAACTGCCCAAATTTTGCCAGGGTATCGCCCAAATCCCCACCTGATGTTGGTCTGAGGGCACAAACACTTTAATCTTAATAAAGTTCTCAACAACCGCAAAGGATATAAATGAACATTGTGTGCACCAAGTGCTTTTGCAATCCTAGTCACTACCTTGTAAAATTAGCAGTGTGCTGTGCATAGCCTGCGCAGACAAGAAAGCTGTGGGAGGGACCCATGAGACTGGGACCTATTACAGATTGCCTGCAGAACACTAGAAGAAGATACAAACCCAATCATTGGGTAAAGAAGAGAGTACAGCAGTGACTGGCATTTATTGCAGGAAACTCCTGCACAGAGGCAATTTTTGTACTGGATACTATGTAGATCTGGAAGAAATACACAAAACACACCAAGGTTCAAGTAAGAATACACAAGCCTCTTTAGACAATAATGTTGATAAATCTAAAGTTATGCACAGTGGCGTAACAATCGTGGGTCGCTATGGCATGTGGGGGTGCTGGCTGTCACAGACACAGCTCAGCAGCAGCCACGGCGCATTTCCCCTCATAGCCGCTGCGGAGCTGTGTCAGTGACAGCCAGCCGCTGCGGCAGATGAGGGCGGTGTTCAGCATGGAGGAGGCTGGGCCTGCCTCCTCTTACGTCACTGGCCAGCGACCTAAGAGCAGGTGGGGCCATTGATGTAAGGGGAGGCAGGGCCCGTCCATAGCAGCAGAGGCGGGGCCCGGGGACGGAACAGGAGTCAGGGCCGGGGACGGAACTGGAGTTGGGGCCCGGCAACCACAGAGGCACTGACAGGTAAGAGATCTCAGACCCTGCAGAGCCCACTATAGATAGTCTATGGTGGGCTCTGCAGGGTCACTCTCCGCTGGGGCTCTGCAAGTGGCATGACTAGGGTTCACGGGGCCCCATACAAAATTTTGCTATGGGGCCCTGTGATTTCTAGTTACGCCCCTGGTTATGCACCTATGTTGAAAAAACATGCATGCATCATACAATCTAGGATGAGTAATACTTGGGGAGTCAATGATGGAGAAGGATCTGGGTGTTCTTCCTATTGTCTCAGAATTAAAAGGATTATATGCCTACTTCCTCCATCCCTGTGAAGCAGAGGCAGCAGGAGGCAGAGAAAGAGTATGAGGAGCAGTGATGGGCCAAACACTCCCCCTATTTGGTTCGAATTTGAACTTTCGAACATGGGAAAAGTTTGAATTCGAACTCAGACTCAATGCTAGTCTATGGGGGTAGAACTTTGAAAATCAAATGCCCCCATTTGGAAGCCTTATATGCAATTGATTGACCATAAAAAGGGTATGGGGATCCGGGTACTGCCCTGGGGTACATGGATCAATGAAAAAAAACTTTTAAAAAATACAGTTTTTAAAGGAGCAGTAATTTTAACATTGCTTAAAGGGAAACAATAAAAATGAAAACATTCTTTAAATATCATGCCTGGGGGCCTCCTTAAACTGCCTGTGCCGTGGCACATCTGTACA